TTTATATAAACATTGATGGTACTACTAATGCAGATGTGTTCACTCTTTAACTCTTAGCTTGTGGCATTTATAAATATAATGTGCTACCAAAGAGGAAGTAGGTCCTTCACCAAGTAATATTCTTAATTTGTGGTTTTCATGGAGCGACTGGAACTCAGGAATGTTCTGCTGTATTTGACTGTACAGTGAGTCTCTTAAGGACGTGTATTTGTCACAGTCTCAACTGATCCTGATCTACATTCATTACAGATGCGCTCTTCTTTAGGTAACCACGTGTTTTATGTCGTCCTCTCTCTATGGCCAGCTGCTGGTCACTCAGTCTGTACTTGGTCAGTAAATGTCTGTGTGTTATATTCCTGACTGAGACCAGATAGTCAGCCAGACTCTACTCTCTGTTGAGTTTCAGATAACATTGGAGACGACTTTGGTCTTTGGTTTGTTCTTTCCAATGCTGTATGTATGTCTCCTTCTCTTCATTCATCATTTCTTTGATTCTTCCATGTTTTTCAGGGTTGGTGATATCAAGTGCTTTGTTAGTTAGATCTGACACCATTACACAAAGATGACTTTTTTGAGCACTATTTTTTTGTGTGTTTTTAGTGCTTTAAAATGAACTTTACTTTTGACTTTCTTTGTTTGATTATTTAGATAAATCACTCAGAGGGGTTTGACCACACGGTTAGACGAACTAGGTTATTTACAAATGATCCAAGCACCCGATTCCTAGCCATTTCTAATATACATTTGATTAATATAACTAAATATTATTCAATTGTAAAGAAATTACAGATTAATTTCTGCTACAGTCAACCTAAGTATCAGGCCTCATCAGAGATATAAATAAGCATGATAATAATAAGCATGGACTTAAAATAGATCAGTAACTTTATTTTATAACATTATTATTGATAACTGTTTTTTTTATTATTTAATATTTAATTTAATTATTATATGTTATATGCATACAATGTCCAGTGTTTGTATTTCCCCTGTGTGTTTATGTTAATTACTGCATTTATTTCTGTGCGAGTGAGATGAATAAAAAACATCTGTTGCATAAATCATTATCTGTCTGGAGTCTATAAGCAGCAAATACAATATATACAGCAAATACACACAAGTCTTATTTTTACTGAATACTGTTTGTGTTAACTGTACAGTTATATTATGATCTAAGAAAGATAATTGATGCGAAGAGAACAGGGTTTAAATGTAAAATATGTGGAGACAATATTGATGGATCAAGTTGATATGCACAGAAAATAGTATTAATGGAGATAAACTGAAGCCTGTGTCTCACAGAGCAAACGTGGGAATGTTTATGAGATATTTCACTCAAACAACTCTCTAATTGTGGTTATTCCTGCAGTTGCAAGCTTTAATTTGAGTAGTCTGTTCTCAGGGAAGCACAACACATTTTTCTGATCCAGGTAGGCTACAGGTTCCCAGTGTATATGTACAATAGCTTAATATATTATTTTACAGTTTTTCTCGATTGCTTAAACACTATCACCAGGCTTTTGAACTAAAATTTCAAAACCATAACGCCATTTATCAAAAAGCACACCCATTTCCCTAAACTATAAACACTATTCCCCTTTTTGACACATGAATCAGATTTGTTGAACTGTCACTGCAAAACTCTACACAGAAATCCCTTCATTTCTCATTGCCTAGACCATATTGTCATGTAGAAAACGCTAGCATTCAATATTGTTCACTCAAGTCAGCATATCTTGAGCTCAATTAGCACACAGTTACCCACGTGGAAACACTAAATACACATGTGTTCATTATGTGAAAAGTTCCTTGAGGGGAAGAACCACAAGCAACATAACTTATTACTGGTTTTTGTAGTATTGTTTTGAATTGATCTCACCAGTGTGTAAGACTATGTTGTAGTGTGTGTGTTTTTGAGGGCTTGTGTGTGATGTCAGAGGCCAAAGTTTGGTCTTTCAGCAATAGTGAATGGTTTTGAGTGTAGAGCTTCATTTTGACCTGAAAATAGGATGTTTGGGGAATTGGGTGAGACGTTATGGATTTGTGTTTACTGTTTTGTTTACTGTTTTGAGAATATGAGGCATAGTTTCAAGAAATGTGTTTAAGCAATTTTTTTTTTATATACGATTTCCTGAAAATTTAATGTTTTTTACTTTCGTTTCAGAGTTGATTGTAGAAAACAAGGAGCATAAAGAACTGAGTAAAGAGAAGGAGAAACATCATGTCAAAACTGGAGAAAAACCTCTGAGTCGCTCTCAAACCAAACAGAAAGGTTTAAAGAAAAGAAGAGACAAGAAATCTTTCACCTGCACTCAGTGTGGAAAGAGTTTGAAATGCAATAAAAGTCTCAAAGTTCACATGAGGATCCACACTGGAGAGAAACCATACACATGTGAGCAGTGTGAGAAGAGCTTCACACAATCATCAAACCTTCAGAAACACATGAACATCCACACTGGAGAGAAACTGCACAAATGTGATCAATGTGGAAAAACATTTTCATATACTTCATACCTGAAGAATCATCTGAAAGTTCACACAAAGGAAAGCCACATTCATGTTCTTTCTGTGGAAAGAGTTTTTCAAATTTGCAAAGTTTAAAAGTTCATCAGAAGATACACACTGGTGTGAGAGATCATATGTGCTTTGAGTGTGAGAAGACTTTTATTACAGCTAAACATTTGAAACAGCACGAGAGGATCCACACTGGAGAGAAACCTTACACATGTGATCAGTGTGGGAAATGTTTTGCAGAAAAAGGAAGACTTGCGTTGCATAAGAGAGTTCATACAGGAGAGAAATGTATGAACATTGAAACACATGAACATCTACACTAGAGAAAAACTACACAAATGTGTCCAATGCGGCAAAACATTTTTGAGGGCTTCAAACCTGAAGAGTCACCTGAAAGTTCATACGAAGGAGAAACCACATTCATGTTCTTTGTGTGGAAAGAGTTTTTCACATCTGCAGAATTTAAAACTACATAAGAAGATACACACTGGTGTGAGAGATCATATGTGCTTAGAGTGTGAGAAGACTTTTATTACAGCTGAAGATTTGAAGCGGCTCCAGAGGATCCACACTGGAGAGAAACCTTACATGTGTTCACACTGCGACAAGAGATTCAGTCGGACAGAAACCCTGAAAAAACATGAGAGGATTCACACTGGAGAGAAACCTAACACATGTGATCAGTGTGGAAAATGTTTTGCAGGAAAAGGAGGACTTGCATTGCATAAGAGAGTCCATATAGGAGAGAAACCGTTCACTTGTGATCAATGCCGGAAGAGTTTCTCAAAATCATCAAATCTTATACAACACATGAAGATCCACACTGGAGAGAAACCATATGAATGTGATCAATGTGGAAAAACATTTTTTGAGGGCTTCACACCTGAAGAGTCACCGGAAAGTTCATTCAAAGGAGAAACCACATTCATGTTCTTTATGTGGAAAGAGTTTTTGGTAACGCTTTAGATTACAACCCGCAAAGAACTACGTAAGTATACTGAATTTACGGTGTACTTTTCTGTAATTATAGAGTACCTATTCAGTACTTCCGTGTAGGTATAAGGGAATAATATGCAAAGTTTTGGGAATAAAGGGGTAACAATCTGTAAAATTACAAATAATTTATACTGCAAGTATTTTGAAACTAAGAGGTGCTTATTCTAATATTACGTGGTATGTATGGCCTAAACAACAATCTTAAGTTTGGGAATGATTTAGAAAGACGATGTATACTTTTTATAATTTTATATTGGTATTTTATTATAGGCTTATAGGTATTTTTTAACCATGGGGTACACATTATATTATTAAAGGATGGACATGATGGAGATTACTGAACAACAAAACTGGACATCTAGTGAAATGAGTTAATGAGTTTCTGCTATGATTTATAATTCACGAGTCTACTTACCTTATGAAAGCTTATTCATCGATCTCAGCAACTTCCCACCAGCAACATCTTAACACCTGTCAGACTCTGTTCCATGTTTTGTCTGTGTCTTGCTCCCCAGGTGTTCCTTTCCCATGTTTAATTTGTCCCAGGTGTTCCCCATGATGGTTCATGGATCCCAGGTGTG